GAATTACTCCTGGCGGTGCTCAGGGGACCATATGGGATGCTGGAAATCGAACCTAGGTTGGCCTTGTGCAAGGCAAACACCCTAATCGCTGTACTATCGCTCCAGCCCCGATAGATTTTTATTTATTAATTTTTTTAAATTTTAGGCATCATGGGGCTGGAGCGATAGCACAGCGGTAGGGCATTTGCCTTGCGTGCAGCCAGCCTGGCCGAGCCGGGTTCGATTCCTCCGCCCCTTTCGGAGAGCCCGGCAAGCTACCGAGAGTATCTTGCCCACACGGCAAAGCCTAGCAAGCTATCCGTGACGTATTCAATATGCCAAATACAGTAACAAGAAGTCTCAAAATGGAGACGTTACTGGGCCCGCTCAAGCAAAATTGATGAACAACGAGAGGACAGTGTAGGCATCATGATTTACAATACTGTCAATGGTAGGGTTTCATGTAGACAATGTTCCAAGACCATATCCACCACCAGAGTGTTCTCCCCCCACACCCTGCCCCTCGACTTCCCCCAACACATTCACCCACCATAGTAAACTCAGTTTTGTAGAACAGTCCTCAGAGTCTTTGGCCTTTGGCCATTGATTATTCCCTTCCTATGTTTCTCTATAGCCCTCATATAAGAAATCATGCTGTGCCTGTCCTCTCCTCCTCTTCCTGGCTGCTGTCACTCAGCACGATACTCTCCAGATAGTCTCTTTGACACCCAGTGTACTGAGGTTCCCATGCCTGGACTCTTCAGGAGCCTTTCCCCAGCCCAGTGATGGATGGGAACCAACTTCCACTGTGAGGGACCCAGCCCGGTCATATGCTGAGCTTCAGAACATAGGCTGAAGATCCAGAGCAGGGGGTTTTGTGCTGCTTTGGACTTTCTTGCCATATCTGTTCTTAAAAGCTCCAGGATGTCGGTCAAAGGAACACTGTGGTTGAAGAATCCAAGCTTTACAGAGCACATGCCCACTATGCCGATGGGGCAAAACGTAATAAAAGAATTCAGGACCCACAAAGGGGATATTCAAACCAAAGTCATGCCTGGTCACAGACATCGTGATTTTCTATAGCTTCTTTCCCACACCTGCAGTACCTGCTGTCAGTGATGACACTTGTTTTTAATCAAGCAGAAGAAAATGGAAGTGAAGCACCATTTCATGCACCTACTCCAGCAACCTTCCTCTTAAGAACTTCAAGTTTCAGCAGTAGGTGTAGGAAGAATGCCTTTAAAACTAGTGTATACCTTTTCAAATTAAAACAAGTTTTTAGTGTAAATAACATTTCTCCAATTAACCTAACTAAAATTATATCATTATACTCCTTAATAACTAACTCCCAGTAAAAATTTTCCAAATTGCTTTATGTAAGTGTCCTTTATAGTTGGTTGCCTAAGATAGAGCTCAATAACGGAAACATAGATTCTACTTGTTTCATATGTCCCCTATCATCTCTTTCAAAAAGATAATAGCACTGTCGCACTGTCGCACTGTCGTCCTGTTGTTCATCAATTTGCTTGAGCGGGCACTAGTAACGTCTCCATTGTGAGACTTGTTGTTACTGTTTTTGGCATATGCCAAAAGGAGCTTGCCAGGCTCTACCGTGCGGGCAGGATACTCTTGGTAGCTTGCTAGGCTTTTGAGAGGGACAGAGGAATCAAACCCAGGTTGGCCACATGCAAGGCAAACGCCCTACCTGCTGTGCTATTGCTCCAGCCCAAAAAGGTAATAACATTTTCATTTATTCTTTTAAAAAAATTAAATGAAAGGATTGTTGTTTACAATAATATTAAAGTAACTATTTGATAGCAATAGTACTGTACCAATCACTGTCTCATGAGTCTCAGAAAAGACCCTTTTCAATGGTCTAAGGAGGAATAGAGGACAGTTGACCTTACTGACCTGATGACTTCTAGGTGTGTGTAGCTTATTTCTCTAACCTTTGAATTTCTGATCACTCAAAAGATGGAAAAACTTGAAGTTGGGTTCAATATTTTTTAAGTGCCAGAATTCTAAGTATATTTCATTTGTGAAGACAGCATCCAAGTGAAAGATTGGATTTCATAAATGACAATTATGAGGATCAAGGAGATAGCTCAGGGGGGCTGATGTATATTCTTTGTATGTGGAAGTCCCAGTTTCATTCCCAGGCACTATGTGGTACCTTGGGAGTAGATCCAGTATGCCACTGTGTGTGACCTCAAACCAAAGAGGGGCAGAGAGATCAGATAGTGGGTTAGAGACACCTGGCCAACCCAGATTTAATCCACATCTGGTCCCCACAGTGTGGCTGGAATGATTCCTGAGCACAGAACCAGGCCTTGAGTATGGCCCATGAAGAACAAAAAAAATAAATGAATGCAAATACAAATGAAATCATATCATCAGGCACGTAGCAACTCACACTGGATTTATCTCAAACCTGTGAAAAACAAGACCTACTAACTTGCTCATCATATGGAAAGGAGTCTTCTAGTGGATCTGTAGAATTTCAAGAATCACAAGTAAATGCATTGTCTCAAAAGTGGTAAAAATGGATGCAAAAGATCAGCTTATTTAAACCGTCTACAGGAAACAGCCTGCTCTCTCTTGGGACCTGAGGTTCTGTGCTTCTACTTTTTGACTCAGCCCTATCCTGACCCTACTTCCGGCCTTGGTCCCAAGCAGACCCATCTGTGTCATACTTGCCCTGCCAGGTCCCAACCTGGGCCCCAACCTCATAACTGACAACAAATCCAAATAGAGAAAGATTGGAAGTTAAAAGTGTGTTAAAAGTTAAAAGTTCTACTTTGTTCTTTAAGTGTGCAAGCCCTTCTAACTTCAGAATCTAATCTCCAGTTTTAATCATTTGACCATATTTTGTGGGATAATTTGTTGCATGAGTTTATGTCTTATTCAAACTAGTCACCTTCAAGTGACCTTGACATTTCTTCCCTTCAAGGAAATGTGCAGCCTCGGCCCTCCTAAGATAAGCATGCATCAATGAGTGTGGCTGAGAGATTTACATGCAGGTGTGAGTGGGTTCAGTAGGAAGAGCTGTTAATGTGTTTGAGTCCATGGGCAAGTTCCGTCTGTCTTTAACTGTTACAAAAGATGTGGTGAACTCAGCCTTGCATAATGTGGGTGCTGGGCACAAGTTGTCATTTTTGACCAGTTTCACGACATACAGGACCTTGTGGTGGGGGAAGGAACTCACTTCCTCATCCCTTGGGTACAGATAGCAATTGTCTCTGATTGCCACTTTCGGCCTCATGTTGTGCCTGTGATCCATTACTGGCAACAAAGACTTATAGTACGTCAGCAGCACGCTGGGCATCCTCCTCCAGCTGGTGGTCAGCCAGCTCATCTTTGCCAGCATCTTCACCAGCATCAGTAAGGACCATGAAAAGCACATGCTGCTGTCTATCACCCCAGAGATACTCAGCTCCGTGGGGGCTCACTTGGATGCCAGAGAACAGATCATCCAGAGGAAGCTGATCAGATTCATGGTGGAAAAGGCCTACCAGTTGGAGAAGGTGGTCATCATCACTGCAGAAGGCGACTCCAAGGTGGTAGAGCTGATTGCCAACTCACCACATTGAGGGACAACAGCCTGAGGGAGGTGGTAGGGGGTAGGTGGTATCACATACCCTCTCCTGCTCCCAGAACATCACCGACCTGCGAGATGGATAGTCAGTGCTCCCGCAGCTGCCCAGGGAGACCAAACCTCCAATGCCAGCCCCCCCGCCCTTCTCAGCATTGATCCCCAGCCTCCTCACCAGAAATCACTGCAATAATTTCATGATTGGCTTCAACTAAAGGAAATGGAAGTCAGGAAACACTGGGCAACTGCTGACAGAACAAACCTGTCTTCCAGTGCTAAGACATGCTCAGAATTATCAACTATAGGTGAAAAGCAAAGGTAGAAACTGCAAAAAAAAAAAACCATGTTTTACATATGTCTGCATACATATGGGATATTTCCAGAAAGACAGAGAAGAGCTGGATGTCTGTAATTTCAGGGAATGGGTCAGTGGGGGAAGAATAGGGTAGGGGGTGGGAAGAATAATTTTAGTGTACAGTTGTTTTGTATTCTTTTAGATCATGTGTACATGTTTTTCTGGCAACCACTAGTTAATTGTCAACTGCATTGATCTATAGCATTTTCATTTTTAGAAGAGTTTGCATTCTCCCATGTTTTCAGCTAAAGTTACCTGTTAGTCAAAGAATTTTAGGTGACTGACCATCAGTGCAGGGTACCTCTTTTACTCAGGACAAGCCCCTTTTGAACTCCTTCGAAATTACAAGACTGTTCCTTGGCACTCTGAGTGCACTGGGCTGGTCCTCCAGCACAGAAGGTTCGGGTCAGGCAGTACCGTATTCTCCTACTGCTTACTAAGGTCAAGCCCTCTTCACCCCTGTCCAGTTCACACAGAGGTATTTTTAACTTCGGTGTTGACTTACACAAAGGTTCCAGTACTCTCTGGGGTGTATTAGGAGACGAGAAAGAGGAGATTCCACACTTAGACTCATTTGCCTTATAAGTAGAAATGTGCGGACTTACACACCTTGGAGAATTGGGTTCTAAAAGCTGTGCTAGGTAAATGCTCCTTTATACTCTTCCCCGTAAACACTTTGAATATTGTCTTTCTTCTATTTCTGACACAGAAAGGCAGTACAGGACTGGCCAGCAAGCTCCACCCCTCTGCTATGGGGAAGGAGAGAGAAAATTTTCTTGGTAACACCTGTCTTAACTAGAGCAGGAAGAGAAACAGATGTGAGTCTATTACCAAAGAACGAGAATTGCAGGTAGGCTATTTAGGTTCTATTCATAAGGTGGGGCATGTGTGTGTTAGTCATCAGAGCTAATGGCACATGCGTGAGGCAAACCAAGTCAACAGGAAATTGATCATGAGGTCTGTGAAATGAAGACAACAGCTGAAGTGTGCCTTTCAGAAACACTCTTTGGAAATTAGGTTATCGTGGAATTTTTTTTTCCTCACCAAAAGAGAGAAAAGATACTGATTTACAGCTTTATTAGCAAAAGATAGAGATACATATGTATTGAGCTTACATATCACTGTAAGTTACCAGTCACTCAAGTCCTGAGAGAAAAAAGTGTGATCCATTGGAGGAAAATCATTGCTTCCCCTAAAAGAAAAGAAAGCAAAATTAGCAGCTAATACATTTATTTCAAAAAAGAAACACAATGCAGAAAACCAGCAGCTTGGAGCAGAAAAGCGAACGGACTATGCATTAAACCGCGCCATCATGCCCGCCCAGAGGGGAAAAGGTGTTGACCCACTCGCCCTCTCCTCTCTGGAAAGAAAGATGGCGGCCGCACGGGAGCCTTGTGGACAGCGGGTTTGAGCCGGGGGTCGGGGGCGACAAAAACCTCATGGGAAGGGGGGTGTTCCGGCCCGTCCTTCACGCCCTACCAAGGCCACCAGTTGCCCCCCACGAGCGGCTCTCCGGCACGGCCATGACTCCAGAGCACAGAAACCAATCTCTTAATTATCTGACTTTTAGTAGAAATACTGCCAGGGTTAATAAGTAAAATAGCAGAAATCCAAAACCGCGCGGCGCGCGACATCATTTAATTCTTAAACCCAGCTGTAGAAAGCAAATCATTTCACAACGCTTTTTCAACATGTCTGATGGGGGGGGGGGGTCGTAAACTCTAAATAATAATGGTGCATCTTTTATCAAAACAATGAATCTAGTCAAAGTAGATAGAGTGTTAACTAGAACTCATCTGCCTCACAGGAATTGGGAGGGGTGGGAGGTGGGGTTCTATTGGGGTTCGTGGTAAAAAATAAGTATTGGTAAAGGGAAATGTGTTTGATATTTACATGACTGAGACCTAAACCTGAAAGCTCTGTAACTTTTCCCACAGTGATTCAATAAATAAATTTAAAAAACAAAAACAAAAACGAAAAAGAAACACATGAGAATCATGAGGATGATTCAAAGGACTGAATTCACTCTTTAAATGTGGGAACCTGTAGCTTAATTCCCAGCACTCCATATACCCCAAGCACTGCCAGAAGTGATTCCTAAGTCTGGGAATGACCATCATCAAAATTTTGATTGTGACCAGTGTGACCCTTTAATACAAGCAAATACTCCACTTTTGGAAATGGAATTCACGAAAAAATATATATATAAATTTAATTGAGTCCAAGTTTTGAGGATTTGTACTGGTCTAAGAATAAGCTTGACCCTAGCATCTCTTGAGTTGTGGTAAATTGAGCACTGACTTCTCATGTATCATCAATGTGCAACACCCTAGGTGCAGTCTAGGATGGGGTAATAGGTTTGGCCCATATTACAAATGCCTCTTTGGAACCTCTCAAAGACCCCTCAGAAGGGAAGATCACTTCTAAACCTGGGTCACCTCCAAAAGGTCCCCACTTCCCCTCAACCATGGCACTTTTGCATATCTACTTTCATTCTTGTTTCTCAACATTTTCAACTTCCATTCTTGTTTTTCAACTTCTCCATTGTGTCCTTAAAATGAAACATGCAGAAGAGAAGATAGTACTAGGGTTGAGACATTATCTGTGTACTCAGCCAAGAGCCATGAGCAAGCTTGGAGAATGCCCCCAAACTATAAACAAATAAACAGAAGTTCAATCCTAAAGTAATTCTGTTCATGCGACTCGTAATTATTAAAGCCTTTTTATCTTTTAGTCTATTTATTTCTCCCACAATATGAAGTGGCATGCTGATGGGAAACTAGTTGCCAAAAATATCCATGAGTCACCAAATGTGACTGTCTGTTGTGAGGCAGTGTGAGATAAATTTGGCTCTTAATGTTTTTGTTTCTTGGGCAGAACAGAACTTGCCAAATAACTTGGGGTCACTAATATGACCCACTTCAATCTTCATTTCTTTCAGGTATGTTTCTGCAGAGCAAAGAAAGATACTTCCATTAGTTTTTCAAATGCTCTCTGTGAAGGAAGAGTCACAGGAGATCTTTTTATTGTTAAAATATAATTAGGTCACTTCTGATTGCCACAATAAATCCTATGTGGAGTCTGTTAAATGTGGTATTTATAGTTCATATAAATGATTCTTTGTTTTTTTATTTGTATTCACTCATTTAATAAATATTAAATCAATGCCTATTATGTCTAGGAAGGTCTTATGTGAAGAAAGTTTGATCTCTCTCTCTTTTTTTTTAAATTTTTTTTTATTAGTGAGACATCATGAGGTACAGTTGTAGACTTACATATTTTTGTGCTTGGGTTTCAATTATACAATGATCAAATACCCATCCCTCCACCAGTGCCCATTTCCCACCACCACGAATCCCAGTATCCCTCCCACCCCCCATTCCCCCCACCCCACCCTGCCTCTGTGGCAGGGCATTCTCTTTTGTTCTCTCTCTATTATAGGGTGTTGTGGTTTGCAAAAGAGGCATTGAATGGCAATCATGTTCGGCCTATAGTCGATTTTCAGCATGCTTCTCCCATCCTGGGAGGATCCTCCCAATACCTTCATTTGGTGTTCCCTTCTCTATCTTAGCTCCCTTTTCCCCTAGCATGTGTGGTTGGCCTCCAAGCCATGTAGTAAAATTCCTGGTACTAATCTCGGCCATTCTTGGGTGTTAGTCTCCTATTTTGTTACTTTATGTTCCCGATATGAATGCAATCTTTCTATGTCTCCCTTTCTTTCTGAGTCATTTCACTTAACATGATACTTTCCATGTAGTACCACTTGTATGTAAATTTCATGATTTCCTCTTTTCTAACATACAAAGTATATTCCTCTTTTCCTCTACATAGTACTCCATTCTGTAAATGTACCAAAGTTTCTTTAACCAGTCATCTGTTCTCGGGCACTCAGGTTTTTTCCAGATTCTGGCTATTGTAAAGAGTGCTGCAATGAACAAACAATTGCAGATGTCACTTCGACTATACCTTTTTGCCTCTCTGGGACAGGGGTTACTCCTGGCTCTGCATTCAAGGAATTCTGGGAATTGAACCTAGATTGGCTGCATGCAAGACAAACGCCCTTCCCGCTGTGCTATCACTCCAGTCCCTGATCACTCCAGTCTCTCTCTCTCTCTTTCTCTCTCTCTCTCTCTCTCTCTCTCTCTCTCTCTCTCTCTCTCTCTCTCTCTCTCTCTCTTTTTAAATTTAATCACCAGGAGATACACGGTTACAAAGTTGTTCATAGTTAGATTTTAGTTCTACAATGTTCTAACACCCATTCCTCCACCAGTGTACATTCTCCACCACCAATGCCCCCAGTTTCCCTCCCATCACCCTCTCCCATTCTCTCCAAACCTGCCTCTATGGCGGGCACTTTTCTTCTTTCTATTCCTCCTTCTTGGCATTATGTTTTGCAATATAGGTACTGAGAGGTTATTATATTTGTTCCTTTACCTACTTCCAGCACTCAGTTCTTGTCCAGCGTGATCATTTATAACTAGAGTTGTCATAGTAGCCCCTTCTCTAACCCAACTGACTTTTCCCACTGCACTTGTGGCAGTCTTCCAGCTGTGGACCAATCCTCCTGGCCCTTGTTTCTACTGTCCTTGGGTATTAGTCTCAAACTATGTGTCTTTGTACCCCACAATTGAGTGCAATCATTCTGTGTCTGTCCCTCTCCTTCTGACTCAATTCATCCAGCATAATACCCTTCATGTCCAACATGGCCATTTTTTTAATATTTGAAAATCTATTTAAACACTATGATTTACATAGCTGTTCAAAATGCAATCATTGCAGGAATTCACTGTTCTAACACCAATACCAGCACTAGTGTCACCTTCCCTCCACCACTTTCCCAGTGTCCCACCACTCTCCCCCACCTCAATCCTGCCCTTTTAGCAGGCACAAAATGATTTACTATATATTGCTTGTTACAGCAAACATCTCATGATGGTGTTACTGAAGTCACTAAGTATTTACTAAACTGCTACGTAATAATCTAGCCCTCTGTGTGATTGCTTTTATTCATTGAACTTTTTAGGCTTCTATGTAACTTTCCCATCTTTGCTTCAGTCCCAGGAGGGCTGTGAGTACTGTGAAATTCAGAGATGTCATGCGGACACATATGCAACTTCATGTTCCAGGGACTGTGGAATTTAGATGAATCAGCTGGGCCATGTATTTATATGCCAGCAGAAGCTGGGTGTGGGTGGACCACTGGAACTTCCAACAGGGTGAGAACTCAGCCCACCCCCATGCCGAGAAGGCTCCAAAGATCTAGACCCAAAGATCAGGCCTACCTGAGTCAGCTCAACCTGAGTCAGCGCAGTTCTCTCTTTGGCCTCTATTTTTAAGGAAATGGTGACTAATTCTATGGTAACCTAAATGGCTACCAGAAATGTACATTTGAGAAATAGGAGTTTATGGAAAAGAAAGATTGCCAGAAAAAATTAACGCTGAGAATATATGAGAGGAAAGAAGAATTAGATTGGTATCAAGAAACAACAGAATTCGAGGCATGTTCGGCAGCATAGCAAATGAGATACCCTGACTATATTCCCAGTGGAACAACTAGAGCTGCAACTAGACAGATTATTTTCTTTGCATATTAAGCGCATAAGCAGTGAAGGAAATCCCTTATACTGAGAGATGAGGAGATCAGGGATGTAGCTAAGCCGTGGAGCATGAGTCTCTCATGACTCAGTGTTTTAGTCTTTGCATTTCCCAACTCCAGACGTGAGCTGAAATCAGTGGAAAACAATTGCCCAGGAAAGGGCAGATACCCTAAAACCATTCTGTGGCGTCTGTATTAGTTTGTCACTGCCACCTTAACAGAATACCACAGATTTCTTTTCCTACTTTTCTGGAGACTAGAATTCCAAAATAAAGGTGGCGGCAGAATTGGGTTCCTCTGTGTCTGTCCCACTCACTATAGATAGGCATTCCTCTGCTCAACCCCTTTTATAAAATTTAATATTTTAAATTAAAACACCACGATTTACAAAGTTATTCATAGCAGAGTTTTAGAGATACAATAAAGCAGCACTGTTCTCACCATCAGTGTCAAAATTCCTCCACCCTGTTCCCTGTTTCCTTCCCTCTTCCCTTCTCAAGCCTGTCCTCTTGGACAAGCTCCTTTCTAAATCCCGTCGTTAAAATTTGGGTCTCTTGATTTCAGTATTGTTGACTCTGTGGTTTTGATATTTACAA